TTGGTCTGGAATTCTGTCAGATCGACATTCAGGGCACCATCAAATCTGAGGGAAGCAGTGATAGAGGACACAATTTGACCTATTAACCTATTCAGGTTAGTGTAGGTTGGGCGTTCAATATCAAGGTTTCTGCGGCAGATGTCATAGATGGCCTCATTGTCTACCATGAAGGCACAATCTGAGTGCTCCAGGGTGGTGTGGGTAGTGAGAATGGAGTTGTAGGGCTCGACCACAGCTGTGGAAACCTGGGGGGCTGGGTAAATGGAGAACTCCAGTTTGGACTTCTTGCCATAATCAACAGATAGGCGCTCCATCAGCAGGGATGTGAAGCCAGAACCGGTTCCCCCACCGAAGCTATGGAAAACCAAGAAGCCCTGGAGACCTGTGCATTGGTCAGCCTGGGAAGAAAGAGAACAAAGAAAAGATAATTATTGCTGTTTATGATACAATCATCAAACATTTATTTTCTTTTTCTATATGTCTTTGAGGATTTAAATTATCTTTTGACATCAAACAAGACTAAAACCCTAGACCTACCTGGAATTACTTAGCATGAGTGCATGAAAAGCATCATCATTAATATTTATAAAATAACACCAAATAGCTTGTCATTAAAAAATTCTAAATGGGAGTGGGGGAAAAAAATCTAATTTAACAATAGAATATCATTCTCTATTTCTGTTAGTAAAAAACAGCATTTATTTCATATTTTTTGCCAATGTATATCAGTGTACTTTGTTTTAAGAATAAACATGGTGGGGGAACGGAGGAAAATGTGCAAAAATGAATGAATGAAAATCCAAGTTCTCGATAAACTTTGATTAAAATCTTAAAAAAAAAAAAAGAATAAACATACCAATTTTCTAATCCGGTCCAGAACCAAGTCAATGATCTCCTTGCCGATGGTGTAGTGCCCACGGGCATAGTTGTTGGCAGCGTCCTCCTTGCCTGTGATGAGCTGCTCAGGGTGGAAGAGCTGGCGGTAGGTGCCAGTGCGAACTTCATCTGTGAAAGGAAAATAAAGTGGCCACACATCATTATCAATCTGCACAACCTTTTTTTAACCCCAGGAGGCACCAGTAGGAGTGTCCTAGGACCTCACTTGAACTATGAGTTCAACTCACCAATGACTGTGGGTTCCAGGTCTACAAAGACCGCCCTGGGCACATGCTTGCCAGCACCAGTCTCACTGAAGAAGGTGTTGAAGGAGTCATCTCCTCCCCCAATGGTCTTGTCACTTGGCATCTGGCCATCAGGCTGGATGCCGTGCTCCAGACAGTAGAGCTCCCAGCAGGCATTGCCAATCTGGACACCAGCCTGGCCAACGTGGATGGAGATGCACTCACGCTGTGGGAAAGGAAAGAGCGGGGGAAATGTCAAATTTGGTTGTATTAGCGTTTTGAAGTTTCAGTAAGTCACTTAAAACATTCTTAGCGATACATTCTTAAAAGTTATTTGAATTTGTATCTCTAAGATTAATGTAAATTATTAAAGAATAGCAGCTACACATGTTGCAGATGGGTGTGGTCTGAATACTAATGCACCTATGGCCCATTTAGCACATGCTGCATCACCATTGTTCTTACAGCTGTGCTTAAGTAGAAAATTTTCTATATTTTCAACAAGTATTTGAAAGAAACATTTGAAGCAAATTAAGTTGGATGATAAATTAATTTGAATTAACTTAATTTCTTCCTTAAAGAGAAAAAAATTTTTTCTCCATTGGACTTAGTATTCAACATGGACATTTGCACTGCAGCTGAGGCTAGAAGCCACACCCTTCCGCAGTCAGTCTGCAGAATCCATCAATAATAGGAGGTTAGAAGGTCTCCCTCCTGCATTGCTGTATTTGCTGCATCTGGTGCTAACCTGTACTATCTTCTACATTATTTAACAGATCAAGCTCTATTTCCAGCAACTGCCCACATGATCTCATTGTGCTGTTTTGCCAGTTTTCCTCCTCTGACCTAGCCTGGGACGGTTTGTCTGAACTGAAGTGAATTAATGAAGAGGCACTAGAACAAAAGGCAGCTGGATACAGATATAAATCTTCTTTGTCTGCAGCAGTTTCATGAAACAATTTTTTCTCGAGAATCTTCTCCACTGCAAAACACTGAAAAATTATTAGTATCCTTAAAACAGCAATTCTTAAATTGGAAACAAGTATCACATGAGAAGCTATCAAACAAAGAATAAAAGCTCACTGGGAGGATACTGAAATATTTTAATGCAACAAAACAGCATTTTATTCTGAGATTCTCTACATCACATTCAATAGAGATTTTCTTCCTTTCATTCTTTAAGGCTACAACTTCCATTGTCTAGTCACTGACACGGGGGTGGGGGCGGGGGGCGGGCAGGGCGTTAACCAGGGACATGTGCATAAAGGTAAACTGGCTCATTAAAGGGCTTTCTCGCAGAATCACAGTCCAAAAGCACATACATCCCTCTCACACCACACCTCACAGTCACCACCAAAGAGCTTGTCAAGTGAACTCGGATTTTGCTCCTCAAGGGAGGGGGAAGGGAGAATATGTCATGGAAGTTTTAACAGTGAGCAAAAAAAATTATTTTTTTTTTACGCCTACAGTTACGCAATGCCTAAATGCTTTATTAAAAGTCTCTGACAGAGGAGGTTTAGTGAGGGCGAGCCCCGCCCAGAGGCTCCAGCGCCGGAGCAGCGAGAAACAAACAACTCCTCCCCTGTGCCGCCCTTGCGCTAGCTGCCAAGGGCTCAAACAGAAACCAACTAAAAAAACAAATGGTTTTCTCCTTCTTTCATACACGATTATATTTCTAAAATACCAGCGAACCATTGAGGGTTCTTTTTATAATGCCCAACAGTTCTACTTTGTCCCTGTCCTTTCCCACAGCTCTCACACCCAGTTCTTTTGGACGATTCCTCCTCTCCCGGTTCTCCAGGGAGACGCGAGGAAGAAAAGTCTCTTCGAGTAACACGGACACGGTGCACACACACAAAGCCGAGCAGACGACGCCACGATCGCCTTTCCCAGGCTTGGACATTTTCAGCGCCGACCGATAGGCCGCGGCGCCCAGCTGGACCCTGGTAACAAAACCTCCCTTTGTTCCTGCGCATCGTCGCGCACGGTGCGCACACATCTCTCCCGCACTGCGGCTGCCGGGCCTTCCCGATGTGAGGGAGACAAAACCTAAACCTCTCAAAGCTTAAGGCTACCTCTGCCCGAAGAGGTCACGAAAGTAGAGAGTTTAAGGCTTTTCCCGGTGGCCCACAAAGAGCCCTAGGAAGCACATTCTTACCATGGTTGCTGCTTCCCGGTTCCAAGGAGAAGGTGGAGAAGGAGAGGGAGGTTGTTGCTTCTTACAGCGCGACTCTTATGCGGTCGATGTAAGAGAACCTGCGGCACATGGGCGGATGCAGCTCCCTATATACAACTCGGTCACCATGGGGATGGGCCGGGGCCTTTTCCTGTTGGTCCAGACCCCTCAGTCTGCCCAGAGAAGCCACGACAGGAGAGTGGTGATTGGTGCAGGCGACATGGGATGAGGTAATCTTTCCCCAGCCTATTTTTCCCCTAGCATCTACAGACTGTTTGCATCCTTCAGACAAAGAGACCTAGCAAAAGCAGTTAGCTGAGCATCCATTAAGGGGTGGGGTCCTGGGTAGGGAGAAGAAGAAGAAGAAGAAAAAAGACTGGGGTTGCTTAAAGTTTAAACCACTGTTAAAATCATCTATTGAATCCTCCTCCCTCTACATTTAATCTTAGATTTTACGTTGAAATGAAATGTTTCATAGAAAGTTATTTCCAGCCCCTTCTTCATACTATGCTAACGTCGACTCCACTGGGTGAGGATTCAATATTCTGTCACTTTAAAACTCAAGTAAGAGAGAAGATGGGGCAATGCTTTAAATTACATGAGTATATGTAATTTATTCATTAATTTTCTTTTCTTTTTAGGAGTTTCCATAAGAGAGTCAGTCAAAATGGTTTCTCAAATGAAAGCAATTTCTTTTCTGACCTTATTTTGCACCACTGCACTCCCCCCAACCCCCAGATAAGTAAAATTGGAATGCAAAGAATAACCATACAAAATAAAGATGCACACACGTCGAAATAATTAAGATCTAACGAACAGTGATGAACCAATATAGATATAAATCGTTTAATAGAAGGCCAACTTGTTCTGTGAAATTTCCCTGAAATTACAATCAAAAGTTTAATTTTAAACCTTTGAACATTTTTAAAAATTCTAATGAGTACAAGTAGTTCAGCAATCTTAGGGAAATCTGTGTAGTTGTGTGTTGGTTTTTTTTGTTTTTGGGGTTTTTTTTTTAATTTAGGTTGTTGGTTTTTGGGTTTTTTAAAATATGATGTATTGTCCCTTGGAATGAATCATCTTTCCGCAGGCAGAACTGGGAAAACACGTGGAGAAGGAATATATTTCAGAAGCTAATATTGTGTGGGCAGTTATATTTCTGCACTGTTCTCTTTTTAAGAATTTTTAAAACTTGAGATACTAAATTTTAAAAAGCAGAATGGAGATACCTACTGTAAAAAGACTATTTTTTAATGTTGGCTCCATGTACAGACATTTGTGTGTTGTCAGCTCATTTCTTTTTATGCCATTCTTATGTGAACCGGATAAATATCCTCTGCAGTTCACTTCTAAGTGTGGGAATTGTAGCTAGCCTCACGTCGTTGCTATTCAACCAGAGACTCTGGTGGCTGTTCCCGGGCACCTTGGGGACAATAAGGCTTTGCTTCACCCCCAGGAAGTGGATTGCAGTAACATTCTTTTGCTATTTAGAAAGGCTCCTTGATCAACAAGAATGGGGCTATGCGGAATAATTCTTTGGACTGGGTACTTCGTGAAGCTGTTGATGAAATGTCAGAGGTAAAGAGGCTTGTTTTGCCAGCAGTGTTGAAACGCTACGTTTAAAGAATCTTTTCCTTTTAGTGTGGAATGACAGGTATTCAGGGTCTGCGGTGCTAGCGCCCCTGCAGTGCTCTGCAGTGCCCATTCATTCTTGCAGGGCTGGCAGGCACAGAAGGGCGTGGGAGGGAGGGACTTGAGACAGCTGCTGCAGGTTGTGGTGTGACAGGGCAGCCATGGGGTTTTTCAACCTGACATCCAATGCTCTGCTTTATTTGCTCAAATTTTCTGTAGCCATCTTCTCTAATGATAGAGAAGGAGAGGCCCCAATACATAAATAATTTTACTTAATTCTTGCATATTTCATAGTAAAATAGTTCTCAGCATCATCTTATCTCCATCTTTTTTTTTTTTGCAAATAAAAGTATGTTTCAATAAAGAACTAGGATTAAGGATGTCTTGAATCCTATATGCGTCTTTAAGAAACAAAAATTTACGTTCATTTTCCATAATTAGAGCTAAAGGTTATAGGAGAGTATAAAGAATGATAAATAGCTAATTAAAAATATTTCTTTCAACATTTTAGTAATGTAATATATCAGACACTACTGGACCATGATTAAGTGTATATTTTTTTTTAACCAAGCTTTTTGGAATGATAAATTCAAGTTTGAATTTTATTTTCTTTGCAATATAAAATATTAGTTAAAATATATCATTTATCCAGTAATCTCAGTTATTTATATTTTACACAGGTATGAATAAAAAGAAGAAGGTTTATGCAGTCAATTCTTTGTAAATGTGCATCTGATCTATTCTGTTCCTTAAGGAGATGAGGTTGGTTGGTTTCATTCTTGGGCCTAAGTGAACAGTAGGATCTAGGTCAGAAATAGACTATTTGAGCACTGACAGTCTATTAAATACGTAGATGGGAGAGCAGGGGAAAGAGCTAATCTGTTCTTTTTTGTTTCTTATTATTCACCAGCTGCTCTCTAGGAGAAAGAAGAGCACTCTTTCCCCCATGTGATTTATAGCCACTAGAGTTCCTTATATTAGTACTAATTCCTAGCAAAATGTCCAACATACAGTAAACATATTTATTGAATTAAATAATCAAATGAACAGTTTGTCTCCAAGAGGGTAGTGTTCTGGGGTGGGGGGAGCCTTGGGAGGGGACAAATGTGCAACAATGAATGAATGGAAATCCAAAGCCTCTGTAAATTTTTACTGAAATTAATAACAAATTTAAATTTAAAATAATTAAGTTAGAGTAAGGATGGCAATGGATTTATAACTGCTCATGCTAATAACACTATATCGTGCCATGAAGGAGGAATAGTGGAAATGTATCCACATTTACAAAATTCCTTTTACCAAAACCATTTATGGAAAATAGGAACTGCATTGGAACATGTATCTCTGGATTGGAAATGATGATATTGTTAATATTTCTAGACTTAAGCTTAAAAGATTATCATGTTCAAAATCATTTGTTGTACATTTGCTTAAATCTTTCCCTCTTTTAACAACTGGGATCTAGAGGGAAGAGAAAAGACCAGAGAATGGCCAAAATTATTGGGGCAGTTATTGCTGCCAGTATAGGGCCTGTGTCAGGAAAAGGAAGTCTTACTCATATACAGTGCCACCCAAAGGTAATAAAGGAGGTCAGAATTGCTTCCACTGTGGAAAGCTGGGCCACTTCAGTAGACAGTGTCACAGACGAGAGCCACAGATAGGCAAGGGAGTAGAGAGGAAGCTCCCACTCACTTGCTTTAAGTGTGGCTCTGAAGGACACCTGGCCAAGGTGGCCCACATCAGGTCCTCGTGTCTGACAGGACTGGCAGGACCCAGCTCTCAGCTGGAAACAAAGGAGGATGCTTCAACCATTTAGATCCTCCCAGAAGAGCTGTGGGTGAGCATTAACATTACTGGTAAGTATATTTGTTTTCTCCTGGACACAAAGCCTACTAATTGGTACCAAACGCCTTCTGAGGTCCCAACTCTTCTCACTATTTCTTAGTTGTTGGAATGGATGGAAAACCTCATAAGCGGTTTCTTACTTCACCTCTGCCTTGCATGTGGACTTCTGAGTTGTAAAACAACCCAGTGGTAGATGGAATTTGCTCCAGGACTTAAGAACAGTAAATGACATAGCTGAGCCTCTACATCTTGAGGTTCCTAACCTCTACACTATAATAGACAAAGTGCTGTCAATAGGCCTTTTATTGTAAGAACCACCTTCCCTCTGTAACTTGATTTATGCCACTATTAGAACCTCTACTCGGAATATTATTGCTTTTTAATTTTTGACTCATGTACTTTTTTTTTTGACACATGTACTTTTAACTTGTTAGCTAAATTTGTTTCTTCTAGGCTGCAACACTTCCATGATACATCTTCAAGGATATGAACATGTACGGCTAAGCACAATTGATAACAGTGCATCTAAATACCAAAATCACTCTCCATAATAGTCTATGTGTTTCCTACTGCCAAAGGGGCCCTTTAGAGTAGTGAGAGAAGATCTTCACCCTGAAACCTACAGCGTCCCTTTTCAGCAGGAATTAGCTAAGAGAATATGCCATCCCCTTTTCCTTATGAATCAGGGTGAAGTCTCTCTCAGGGAGGAGTGATAGGGAATGGCAAAGGACACACTGACAAAGGAGAATAATCAGAACTGGCTTAGACAAGCACTGTGGCAATTGGACAATTAAAACAGACATTCAAGGGGGGGAAAGAAGAATGAACTGGGGAGGAGGGTAGAGAAAACAGTGCAACAGTGAATGAATGAAAACCCAAAATCTCTGTAATGTTCATGAAAACTAATAAAATTAAAAAAATGAACAGTTTGTCTACATATATGCATTAATTTATTATTATTGTTGTTAGTAATTTAGAGGTATTTAATAATGGTGTTTTTCCCCCTGGATGCCTGGGTGGTGCAAACAGTTAAGCACTTTGGCTACTAGCTGAAAGGTTAGTAGATCAGACTTACCCAGAAGCACCACAAAAGGCAGGCCTGGCAATCTGCCTCTAAGAGGTCAGAGCCTTGAAAACTCTACGAAGTTGTTATAGTCTGCACACATGAGTTGAAGGCAACCAGCACCAACCAATGAAGTACTTTAGGTTTTATATCCAACAATAATTTATTGAGATCTTTTTACCATGAGCCCTGCACCATCTTAAAGAACTCAGAGGTATTAACAGTTTCTTTTCTCTGGAACCTTTAAATCTGGCTAACATAAGACATATGAAAAAGGCATGTACTCAGTATGTTTATGAAGGGTTAGGAATGTCTAGAATTTATCACATGATCCTATGGATCATAACATACAGGAAGTAAGAGATATCTAAGACTTTCTATACCCCTTGTTCATCCTTTTTAATCTATTCTCATAGTGAATTCTATATTCACTATTCTTTGAAATTAAATGTCATCTATGTTTTTTGTGGGAAGAATTAAGAATTTACAGATCAGTTTCTCATTCAACAATTTA